AAGAGGAAAAGACAAGTAACGGAGGATGTAAGCCACCTAAGCAGCCATAAAGCTGTGAAGAGGGAAGAAACTCAGGCTCAGGCTCAGGCTCAGGCTCAGACTGATGCTTGTCCATATCAAACAACTAAAAGAAGATTCAGGCCCAAAAGGAAAAGAGAAGCCCACGAAGCCCAACTCTGCAACTCTGCAACAATCACACGCGCCCTTACCGCTTCTATCGCTGCCAACAAACATAAGCGTGCATAATCGCTTTGATGTTCTTGGAAGTAGCAGCATCTCATGCAACTAGAACATTCATCATTAGCTTTTTGTAACTCTTCTCTTTATAAAGACCTCTGCTTGTAATCCAATTAAGTTAAGGAAAAATATTTAATCTTTTCCTCTCTTTCAAGCTTTCTCTTCTATTTTCATGGTATCAGAGCTTAGGACTCTGTTCCTGAGCCATGGAAGACTCTTTTTCTAAATATCTTAATATCTCTCAGGTTGTTACTCTCAAACTTACTCCAACGAATTACCTTCTATGGAAAACTCAATTTGAGTCCTACCTTTCTACACATCTTCTTCTGGGTTTCGTCACAGGCGCTACTCCTCGTCCGGTCTCCACCGTCACTGTTACAAAGGATAATGTCTTGTCTGAAGAAGCAAATCCAGAATTTCTGAAATGGATTCGCACTGATCAGTTGGTCAAAGCTTGGATCTTTGGATCTCTCTCCGAAGAAGCTCTCAAGGTTGTCATTGGCTTAAATTCTGCTCAAGAGGTATGGCTTAGCTTAGCTAGGCGTTTTAATCGTGTTTCCACCACTAGGAAATACGATCTGCAGACACGTCTAAACACTTGTTCCAAGGCTGGGAAAACAATGGAGGCTTATCTAAGTGAGATTAAAAACGTTTGTGATCAGCTTGATTCAATTGGCTTTCCGGTTACAGAACAAGAGAAGATTTTTGGTGTTCTGAATGGGCTGGGAAAAGAGTATGAATCTGTAGCAACTGTGATAGAACACTCTCTTGATGTGTATCCAGGCCCATGTTTTGATGATGTCGTGTACAAGCTCACTGTGTTTGATGATAAACTCTCCAAGTATGCTGCAAACTCTAAAGTCACTCCACATCTGGTTTTTTACACGGATAAAAGTTATTCTCCACGGGATAATTACAATGGTCGTGGTGGAAGATCGGGAGCTTCCCGTGGTCGTGGGTTCCAACAACAGTTTGGCTCTGGTTCAAACAATGGCCCTGGAAACTATCCGAAACCCACATGTCAAATCTGCGGGAAATATGGTCACTCTGCGTTTAAGTGTTACAAGCGGTTTGAAGAGAATTATCAACCTGAAGATCTTCATCATGCTCTTGCTACTATGCGCGTATCTGATCAAAATCACCCTGCAGGTCATGAATGGTTCCCAGACTCGGCTGCTACTGCCCATATCACAAACACCACCAATGGTCTTCAAAACTCCCAACCATACTCAGGTGATGATTCTGTGATTGTAGGAAATGGAGATTTTCTGCCCATCACTCATATTGGTACAATTCCTCTGAACACTTCTCAAGGTACACTACCTTTAGAGGATGTCTTAGTCTGTCCTGCAATAACTAAATCGCTTTTATCTGTCTCCAAGCTTACTGATGATTATCCCTGCTCGTTTACGTTTGATTCTGATTCTGTTGTTATAAAGGACAAACGAACACAACAGCTCCTCACTCGAGGAACCAAGCATAAAGGTCTATATGTGTTGAAGGATGTCCCGATTCAAGCTTACTATTCTACTCGACAACAATCTACCGATGGGGAAGTGTGGCATCAGCGATTGGGTCATCCTAACAAAGATATTTTGCAGCATCTTATCAAGACTAAGGCTATTGTTGTCAATAAAACAAGCTCTAATCTGTGTGATGCTTGTCAATTGGGAAAAGTGTGTCGTCTTCCTTTTGTTGCTTCTGATTTTATCTCTTCTCGGCCCCTAGAACGTATTCATTGTGATCTATGGGGCCCAACACCTGTTATCTCTTCTCAGGGTTTTCAATATTATGTCATCTTTATCGACAACTACTCTCGCTTCTCATGGTTTTATCCGTTAAAGTTGAAGTCTGATTTTTTCTCGGTTTTTCTCCTCTTTCAACAACTTGTCGAGAATCAATACCAACAAAAGATTGCTATGTTTCAGTGTGATGGAGGGGGTGAGTTCATCTCAAACAAATTTGTTGCTCACCTTGCTTCATGTGGTATTAGGCAACTGATTTCGTGTCCTCACACTCCACAACAGAACGGGATTGCTGAAAGACGACATCGAAATCTAACCGAACTTGGTCTCTCTCTCATGTTTCACAGCAAGGTTCCACATAAGCTATGGGTTGAAGCATTCTTTACCTCAAATTTTTTGGGTAATCTTCTTCCATCTTCTGCTGTGTCCAACAATAAAAGTCCCTATGAGATTCTGCATGGAACTCCTCCTGTCTATACTGCGCTGCGTGTTTTTGGGAGTGCCTGCTACCTTTACCTTCGTCCTTATGCGAAAAACAAGTTTGATCCCAAGTCTCTTCTATGTGTGTTTTTGGGATATAACAACAAATACAAGGGATATAGGTGTCTTCATCCACCTACGGGAAAAATCTACATTAGTCGACATGTTTTGTTTGACGAAAGACAATTCCCGTACTCTGACATTTATTCTCAATTTCAGACAACTTCTGATTCTCCCCTTCTCACTGCTTGGCAACGGGGGTTTCTCATCAAGAATCCTCACCAGAAACACCATCCACATCCCCGAGCGTGGAAGATGTTGTTTTCCCTCTTCCAAATGTCTCCAGCAGCTCCACACCAAACACTGCCACTCCTGGTTTGGTCTTTTCAGATGATACTGCTCCTTTTAGTCCGATCACGTCTACATCGACTCCCACTCAGCCTGAGATTTTAACGTCTGATCTTGATCACTGCCCTCCTGACTTTGAACCGGCAGTCACCAACGATGTCACTCCGCAAATCACAGATAACTCTCTGTTTACTGATTCTGATTTTCCGCCTCTGCAATCTGCGGTCTCCTCTCCTCTTACTGCAACAGATACCTCTCATCCCATGATTACTCGCGCTAAAGCAGGCATCACCAAGCCTAATCCAAAGTATGCTCTATTTTCTGTCAAATCTAACTATCCTGAGCCTAAATCCGTCAAAGCTGCTCTCAAAGATGAAGGCTGGACAAACGCAATGGGAGAAGAAATGGAAACGATGCACGAAACTAATACATGGGACTTAGTCCCACCGGAAATGGCTGATCGTCCTCTTGGATGTAAGTGGGTGTTTAAAACGAAACTGAATTCTGATGGGAGTTTAGACCGATTGAAAGCTCGCCTTGTTGCAAGGGGATATGAGCAAGAAGAAGGCGTGGATTATGTTGAGACATACAGCCCCGTTGTCAGAACTGCCACGGTTCGATCTATTCTTCATGTCGCTACAATTAACAAATGGTCCCTTAAGCAACTCGATGTGAAAAATGCTTTTCTTCATGGGGAATTGAAAGAAACTGTGTTTATGACCCAACCACCCGGCTTTGAAGATCCCTCTCGACCTGACTACGTTTGCAAACTCAAGAAAGCAATTTATGGTTTAAAACAAGCGCCTCGGGCTTGGTTTGACAAATTCAGCTCTTATCTTCTGCAGTTTGGATTTATCTGCAGCTTTTCGGATCCTTCTCTCTTTGTTTATCTTAAGGACAACAACGTTATGTTCTTGTTGCTTTATGTTGACGATATGATATTAACTGGTAACAATGCTGCTCTCCTTCAACAGTTATTGACCACTCTCAGTACAGAATTTTGAATGAAGGACATGGGAGCTTTGCATTACTTCTTGGGGATTCAGGCGCACTACTACAATGATGGTCTTTTCCTTAGTCAGGAAAAGTACGCTTCTGATTTATTGATCAATGCAGGCATGTCAGAGTGCTCACCCATGCCGACACCTCTTCCTCTTCAGCTTGATCAGTTACCGGGTAACAACGAACCTTTTCCTGAACCCACTTATTTCAGAAGCTTGGCGGGCAAACTCCAATATCTCACTCTCACCAGACCTGACATCCAGTTCGCGGTTAATTTTGTTTGCCAAAAGATGCACTCTCCTTCCATGTCTGATTTTCATTTACTCAAAAGGATCTTGCGGTATCTTAAAGGTACAATGACAATGGGCATTAATCTATCTTCAAACACAGATTCTGTTCTTCGTTGCTACAGTGATAGTGATTGGGCTGGCTGCAAGGACACACGACGATCTACCGGAGGTTTCTGCACATTCCTCGGCTCCAACATTGTCTCGTGGTCTGCTAAACGTCATCCCACCGTCTCCAAATCCTCCACCGAAGCTGAATACCGGACATTGTCTTTTGCAGCATCTGAAGTTGCATGGATTGGAGCCTTGCTCCAAGAAATTGGTCTTCCCCAACATCAAATCCCTGAGATGTACTGTGACAACCTTTCAGCCGTCTACCTCTCTGCTAATCCCGCTCTTCATTCTCGTTCCAAACACTTTCAGGTGGACTACCATTATGTCCGTGAAAGAGTGGCTTTAGGCGCTCTCACTGTCAAACACATTCCAGCCTCCCATCAACTTGCTGACATTTTCACTAAGTCTCTTCCTCAAGCACCATTCTTCGATCTTCGGTTCAAACTTGGTGTCGTCTTGCCGCCGGACACAAGTTTGAGGGGGTGTATCAAACAACTAAAAGAAGATTCAGGCCCAAAAGGAAAAGAGAAGCCCACGAAGCCCAACTCTGCAACTCTGCAACAATCACACGCGCCCTTACCGCTTCTATCGCCGCCAACAAACATAAGCGTGCATAATCGCTTTGATGTTCTTGGAAGTAGCAGCATCTCATGCAACTAGAACATTCATCATTAGCTTTTTGTAACTCTTCTCTTTATAAAGACCTATGCTTGTAATCCAATTAAGTTAAGGAAAAATATTGAATCTTTTCCTCTCTTTCAAGCTTTCTCTTCTATTTTCAGTCCATTAACGCCGTCAAGTTGGATGGGGTTTTGGGACGGAGCAGACAGTAAAGAGATGGGGATATTCTCCGTGCCTCCATTATCTCCTTATCTATCTCTTGGACACTCCCACCTCGTGGTTATGTAAGCTTCTGAGAGTCAAACTGGGAACATTCCAACATTAGGTGACATTAGCAACTTTGGATTGTGTTGAAAGCTTCTAGATTAGCTGATTGTAAAAATTGTTTCCCTATATTCATTGATTCATCTTAAATGCAATTCTTTCTACCCTTCCTTAAACGAGCACAAAGAAGAAGTTTGAACTTACAAGACCTACTAATGAGCCCTTCAAGCAAAACGATTGCCTCCAAGACTTTGGTCGCTGTCTAATATAATAGTGCAGACACCCACAAACATATGTACTTTTCTTCAACCCTATAAATTTCACCATAGACAAAAACTTTCATGAGGTTACAAAGTAGACACAGAGAATTCAGTATGTTGAAACAAACCTAAGACATTCCTTTGTTACCCACTCCACGAGACTTCTGCTTCCAGATGTACTTGATGCTAAGGTCGTAACTCGTAACATTTTTACATCTTACAACATGACAAGATTACCTTAACTATTTCAAGTCACCAAATCAAAGGAAACAACCAGAAGGAAAAACTTCATCGCTTAGCCGTGAAAGAAACATAAATCAAGTAACCCAATTATTTTCAAAAAGATAGAAACAGTGCGGCCAAAAGAGAAATTCCAACCACCTAATCATATAATCCACAGTGAACCAAAAACGAGAATCCTACACCGTCGAGAAATTGTCTAAAACAGGCAAGCAGACATAAACTTGTACCCATAAAATTTTTAAAAAGTGTCAATTTTTGTTTCAAATTTCTGTAATAAAAACCATTTTTAAAATGTGTCTCGGATATGAAGAAGCCTGGAAATAGAGACAAATCCACAAAATCCCTCCTTTCTTGTCTTAAACTTATACTAATATTTAAAGTCCACTTGCCACACTCCAAAACAACAGTAGAAAACAAGTCAAAATAATTGAAAAGGATCCTTCCTCTCTCCAACCAAAGAAGCTAATCTCAAAAACCTCTCACTTTCCATTTTTATATAACCCTCCAATCTCAAAAACCAAAACCCACAATCAAAACAACAATCAGATAGAAAAAGGCTCCAGTATCATCTATGGCTTCTTCACATCAACTAGAACAAGACCAATCAGCTTTGAATCTCATAACCCAACACCTTCTTACCGATTTCCCTTCCTTAGACACCTTTGTCTCCACCATCCACCACTGCACCACTTCAACTCTAAGCCAACGCAAGCCACCTCTTGCCACTATAGCAGTTCCTGCACCAGTGGCTCAAGAGGATGACCTGAGGCATTACAGAGGCGTCAGGAGAAGACCGTGGGGTAAGTATGCGGCTGAGATCAGAGACCCAAACAAGAAAGGTGTTCGTATCTGGTTAGGGACTTTTGACACAGCCATGGAAGCTGCAAGAGGTTACGACAACGCTGCTTTTAAACTACGAGGAAACAAAGCCATTCTTAACTTTCCCCTTGAAGCAGGCAAGCACAAGGACTATGGAGACAACAACAAGACTGTCTCTTTAAAAGCAAAGAGGAAGAGACAAGTAACGGGGGATGAAAGCCATGGAAGTAACCTGTGTAGCCATAAAGCTGTGAAGAGGGAAGAGGCAGAAATTCAGGCTCAGGCTGAGGCTTGCCCGTTAACACCGTCAAGTTGGATGGGGTTTTGGGACGGAGAAGACAGTAAAGAGATGAGAATATTCTCCGTTGCTCTGTTATCCCCTTATCCAGCTCTTGGACACTCTCAACTCGTGGTTACGTAAGCTTCTGAGGATCAAACATTAGGTGACATAAAAACCGTTGGTGTATATATCATCTACAAGTAAAGCACCGAGAAGATGATTTTAAATAAGAACTTACAAATCTTAAGGGTGGTTGTGTTCAAAGCTTCTAGATTAGCTGATTGTAAAAGATGCTTTGCTATATTCATTCATTCATTCTTCTTAAGTGCAATTCTTTCCACCGTTCCTTAAACGAGCTCAAGAGGATGATTATTTTCTTATAGAACAAAGAGGAAGCTCATACTTACAAGACCGTGCTAATGAACCCTTCGAACAATATGGTGGTCGCCATTTAATAGTGCAGACACCCATAAACAGATGCACTTTGATTCAACCTTATAAATTTCACCATAGAACAAAAAATCTCATCAGGTATTAAAGTAGATGGCAACATATAGTTTGATAACGAGACCCATTGGTTGTTGAATGATGGTGAACTAAATTCTTACAAACCGACTCCAAGAGAAGCTGGACCTACCTTCAAGAGAAGCAAAAGATAAGATATCTACATTTTGGAAGAGCTGATCATGTACAATACATAAATTAACTATACACAGACAATTCCATGGCTGAGAAAGGGTCCTACAGAGACAACAAAACTACTTTGAACCTACCGAAATGTTCATTCTAACAATAAATTGGACCATTTTTAACTAAGATGAAAATATGCTCCACAACATCAAACTAAGTGGAACTTCGATCAAAGTCAGAGTTCCATTTCAGATCCCAAATCCTCTCCTTCTCTGTTGGACATCTGAAGTAGAAATTTCACACACACACACACACACAAGTTATACTGAAGACAGGCATTCAACTAAAGTACACACGACAACAAGGCAACAACCTAGGGAGGTCTTAAACCAACAAACCTGTCTTTGCCAGTATCAATGTCCACACTAAAGAGATACGGAATGCCCAAGACACAGAATTCAATACGATATAAGAAAAAGGTAACATATCCAGTCTCCACCAAAGCATC